TCGTCTGGCGCGCTTTCCCAGCGCGACGTCGTCGGAGATCCTGGACGGGCTGGTGCCTCAGGTCTACGCGTGCAACGGGTCCGAGCTGCGACACGACGGCCCCCCCACCTTCCACGTCCCGTCCGCCAACGGACACGGCAGCAGGTCGGGGACCTCGACCGGGGGCCTCCGCCACTCCTGCGCCTCGACCGGGGGGATTTATGGCGACCCGGTGGTGCCGATTCCAAACCCGCGCAGTGCCCTCGGGCGCGCCGCGACCGTCTCCGTGATCGTGCCGGAATCCCCCTATCATACAAAACTCTATCCGAAATACCACTTTGGTGGGAATGAGTCCGACCGCTTGGAGTATAACATGGGGAATAACAGCTATAATCAGGGCTGGTTACCCAACAGGGGGGAAATTGAGGAACATTCACCGGAGATCAAGATCCAGAGAATGGGGTCCACTGGCTATTCGGATTGGAACTCTGTGAAGTCTCCCGCGAGCGAGGGAGACATCAACACGGCAGGCGAAATTAGCATCAAGAGCCGCACATCCTCATTCAAGGAGATATTGTCAGGCGGTAAACGCGGGTACAGACACAATCCCTATTCATTTCACGCAGACTCATAATTTAGACAAACAGTGATGTAGAAAGTAACGCAAACAGTGGTTTGATAAGGGCATATGCATCGATGTAGATGTGGTAGTGGTACTTCAAGGTGTGATGCATCAGATAACGCTAGAATGATTCACAAGCGTCTCAAGAAGTCAATTGGTTCTCAAGTGTTGACGGCCCTAAGCTGTTCAGGTAAGAGTTAAATGAAAGTAAACGTTACCAAAGAAAATATTCCCATATGATTCTAATGAACAATACATAAATGAAGGGATCATATATATATATTTGTGGATATATTTGGCTTCCGTAAGCGTAACTGACATACTCTTATGCACAATTGCGTACTTGAAAGAGTGATACCATAAAAAAAAAAGAAAGAGGACAAATGAAAAGAATTTGATTGAATTATGATACATTGCAACATTCCTTTGAAATTTATATATTTTATTATCTGTACTGTTGATGTTGTTTTAAAACCACTCCTTGTCTCATGTGTACACTACTTGTCACTTTTTTTTTTTTTGAGGAGTCATTTGAACACATTTCTCGTTTATTTTCTTTAATTCCCAATCAATAAGTTGTCTGGTTCATGTAACCAAGTAACAGGAAAAACAATGCATTATCTTTTTTCTAACCTTGGTATACATATACGATAGGTATATGAATGTATGTATGTTTTTTATTATTTTAGTGTATTTTTGTAATCTTATTTTTTTCAACATTGTTAGAATTCTGGGATCACCCCTTTTATTACCCTCTGTATTTTTCCACTTAAACCTATATGTCCTTGAAAATATACAGCTATATATATATATATGTGTATGTATATGTATATGTAGCTCTATATTGATCCATAGACTAATAGGTACAATATTATCAGGGCATGCGTAGTGTGTGGCACAATATAATTAATGTTGTCTTTGACTATGTAGTTTAATGTGATGTTGTGAACATTGGAAGGATTTAATGATTTTAATCTTAATGTTTATGCATATGCTTCAAAGTATATTGGATACACAATATTCTCTATATGTATTTAAAGGGATATAGATTCCCACAGAAATGATTCATATGCATACTCTGTTTAAATCTGTTCACCTCTAATGAACTTATTTATTATATGATTCTTGGAGTACTTCTTCAGACATGCACCTTTATATAATTTTGAAAAATCACACATAAAACGGAATTAGTACAACTAAATCCTTAATGCAAAATTTCTGACGAGTGAGGGTATCTGGAATTATCATTATTTTGTAGCGCTTTCTGGAACTACAATCATTGCTTTACTTTTATGACTTCGCAACTAAAGTTTATCGAATAAAAAAATATGATATATGTGGATTTATTTTTCATATATAAAAATAAAAAATATTTCTTTTTGGAAAAAAGCATCTAAAGGGGCTTCTGATGCTCTTTAACTTTTTTATTCTTAGTTAAGAAAAAAATTTAAATCTTCGAGCGAAATTTTTCAATTCTTTTATTCGATTCATTTTGTGCCATAAACTCTCAATGCAGGAAAATAATCAACTCTTGCCGAAAATTCATGGATTAGTAAAAATGGCATTATAGTAGTTACCTTTATTTATCAAGCTTAATATCTCAGAATAATAACACCTTAACAGTGATAATATATATACTTTAAATGGAAAATTTGATTGTGCATTTTTTTTATGTTGATATACATGCACAAATGGTTTTGCGTTCGTTATGTTTACACTTGATGTGCTCATTTTCGATTCCATCCTCTCCTAAACCAGTCAAGGCTGGAAATTTTTAATGTTTAAGACGATTATATATATATATATATTTATGTTTAAGTGGACAGTGGAAGAGAAATGATGCATACAACTTTGCGACATACTATTTGTATCTTATGTTTCGGAATAAGGTTTCTAGCTTAAATATTGAACACAACCATGGCAATGTTTTAAGTTTTTTCTTTTCCATATCAAGAATACTTTTTAAAACGTTACTGAATCGTAATAGAACTCATATTCTTTTATTCATCAAATGGTGTATGCATATATACATGCGCGGAGTTATCGGTGAAATTTTGAACGTATTATGTTTTTATCCCCAAAATAATATACGAAAAAACTTATTTGGTTATTACGTACTAATATGGTTCTTACCCCGTAAACTTTTTTTTTAGTCTCATTATTATCTATGTTAATAATGGGACTAGTATTATTATTTGTAATTTTTTTTTAAGTCGTTCTGAACGATGTGAAAATAAGTACAAAAGAAATTTTACGAACATTTCAGAAAAATTAAATATATGAAAATGGAGAAGAAAAATAATGAAAAGGAAGAGTTCTCTTTGCACATATCACTTTCTTATTTTTTTCTTAAATCTATTTTCATTGTTTTAATCAAGAATAATGATGTTTTTGCTTCATTCCTATTGCTCATAATGAAGAATGGCGTTTGAAAGAATCACGGATAAATTGATTCACTTGCATCGATGCGAGATGTAATGTGAGGCTGAATGTGGAAACGGTCGGTAGGCACATACCGCCAAGTTACCTTCTCCCGTAATAAGACAGGGTTCAAGAACGATCCACGAAAGTAAAAAGAAAGATAACTCGTTAACACTTAGTAATTTTTTTCTTTATATGTGTAACGATATATCCACGATGTCGGAAAGCTCAGCTATTGGCTTTGATTGTGTATTTCCATTTTTGCTTAACAAATATACAGACTCATTCGAACTATGTACAAGAAATTTTAAAAAATGAAGTAAATAGAATAGATGTTTCTCATTATTTTGATGAAAAATTTTCCTCAAATGTTTTTATTACGTCGTCACTACAATTATCTGAAAAAAGTTGTAGGATAATAAAAAAGTAGCTATATGACTTTACGAATAATGCAAAAATAATTTAGGTCAACCCAATTTAAAAGTAATTAACTTTTAGGCTTTATTATTTCAGTTTTTCTATCATAAACTATATTTTGTTTATCCTAAATTAGTATTCATTGTCCTCTAACGGCATAATTGCCAAGAAAAATAACGGGAGTCTTGTTTGAATCAAAAAAAACATGTATATTTATGTATATACATATATATAAGCATACAATATTGCGCAGAATTCTTGGTGTAAAAAGGGTCTAACAAGTCTCGGAGTATATATATATATATAATCTCCAAAAAGACTAAAACAGATTGCTGTTATTACCAATAGTAACATTCTGAAAATAAAGAGAAGCAAAAAATATCAACAATAAGCGTATCTTTGACCCAAATTTAGGGAAACTTCCGTATCCCACAGTATTTCTAAAGGAAAAACACTGAGAGAGTGCTATCATTTAAGCTGTTGAAGAAACAACAGAACTAAAAGCATCGACCACAAACTACTAAAGCACAGCTTCGAATAGAAAGTTGGCTCACCGATTTGTTTGGTCCAATAATTGAATTTATCTACCTTGAGTAAAGAACATACAGTAAAGAAAGCTTAAGTTATTGAACAATTATTGCTTCAATTTTATTACCTATTATAGTGTTGATAACTAATAATATAACTAACAATCACATACACACACACCTATATAATATATATTACCTATGACATTATAACGGTGTTTCTTTCTTATTTCTCTTAATTTTTGAATTATAAAATAAAAATAATCCAATATCAAAAACACGAACACAGTAAAGCTAATTATAACTCGAAAAAATACAATCTGAGTCGAATATAAGAAGCTATCAATTGAAAAAACGTTGATGATTTACTAAAGTACATTTCTTATATTTTTACAAGCTTATTCTTTTTTTCATCCTCAAAAGAAGGCTCTGTTGTGTAATATAGTTTTGTTTATTTTTATCCTTGTTATTTTTAGTTGGTCAAGTTGCGTGGTTCATTGCTCTTAACTGTTTAAAGTTTCTATTTGTCATTGCTATTTTGAATACAGAGTATTTTACTATTTATCCATCAACCCATTTGGATACATTTGTCTCTCAGCTTCAAATTATCTACAAGTGTCCGGTAGGCGGAGTTCATATATATAGTAATTTAACATTAGGTTTCATTCTTTATTACTATAGTTCTTATCTGTTTGTTTGTTCGTTTTTTTTTTTTTGATATATTTGATTGTTTCCCATCTTTGTATATCCTTTAGATATTTATTAAAAAAACGAAGGAACCCTTTGCTTTATTTTTTAAGATTTTTCATTTATTTTCTTTAAGTGTTGTAAATAAATCACTACCAGATAATTCCCTTTATTACTTATTTATTCATTCATTCATTTATTTCTACGACATTTTTTTAATCAAGAAGTAATTGTTTGCTTGATATCCAGTAAGTAATTAAAAAAAGCATCAGCTATATATTCTATATTTGTCGTGGTGCTAACCCAATTTACATTTTGCCCAACAACAAATCCTGTTGATAACCTCAAAATGCGATCTGAACTCTATCTTGATGATATGCTACGTCGTCAAACAGTCACTACACAACAAATTCAGGCTCTGGGTTACTGTCAACGGCCGGAATATCGTCATTTTAAAGATATTCCGAATCTGCCATCGATCGCAGCAACTGCCGTCACAGTATCCGGTATTGCGAGACCGCACCCAGAATATGGCGTACCAAGCTTTCAGATCGCGAATTCTGCCGAACCAAATATTCACCAAGGTCCCCTGTACACGTTTAATGAGAATAACCTAATCTATTTTAATAATAATAACATTTTGTTGAGTAACTCAATACGGCGATATCCCGAACAGATATTTTCTGAAGTGAAGAACCTTCAAAATCCAAGCAAAGATTGTGAAGAGCTGTTCCCCACGTTTCTCTTGGCGCATGACGCACACTCCTTGTCATCCTCAACTAATTTGTTTGGCGTGACCTACGCCTCCGACACGCGCCGGCAGTTCATAGATGATAGAGAGCAAGGGGTGGTCCCCCTTGGTCGGAGTACAAACGCGGTAACGGTGGCCTGGGGTGAAAACGTCCAAGCCCTACCCGCATCCACGCGATCGCCTAAGGAGAACCAGCACCTTGGTCAGGCATCCAATTCGATCTACAGCGATACTAACCTTTTTGTGCGATTTTTATCACATTCAATGGATGAAGATCAACTAGTCAAACTTTTCAAGCCCTACGGCAAGATCGAGTCACGCGGAATTAAACGCAACATTCGTACTGGTGAAAACATGGGCATGGGTTTTGTACGCTTTGAAACCCATGAGCAAGCTAAGAAAGCCATGAACGCCATGAATAACCCTCGAAAGCCTGGCGCGCGCCATAATATGATCGTGCAATGGGCAAAGCGAGAGCATGACAATGTGCCCACCTGCAAAGACAGGCTGCGCATGCGTAAGCTCTTTGTGCGAAACATCCCACTAGACATCACCGTCACCATGCTCGAAAATCTCTTTCTGCCTTATGGGGTGCTCGAAAGTGTTACTCTGCATCGGGATACGAGCGCGGCGGGGCAGTACGCCTCGAATAAAGAGGAGCGCCGCATCGCATTTGTCACCTTTAAATCAGATGGGGTGGCCCAGAAGGCCTCCGAAGCGATCCACAATACCTATCCTTTCCCGTCCTGTGATCGGATTCCGCTCATGATCAAGCTCGCGGAGGATAACCCCACACGGCTGCAGAAGCACAACAGCCACACCGTTTCACCCACTAATGAATGGTTGTCGAAAAAAACTAACGTGGTCCCCATACCGTTAACCAAAGGGACAGGGGGAGGAGGGGGGCCTCCGTGTGAAGGGGGGGAGAGCACCACCGCATTTGCCTTCACCCCCCCGGGTGGCCTATACGGCCCACCGAAGATCAACCTCGCTGAGCCTACGAAAAACTCCCCCAACGTCATGCCGAACGGTGGAATGAACAGCCCCTTGCCCAATCCGGAGCTCACCTTCGAGACCGGGGATGGCGCCTGCACGAACTACAGCAGCCCGATGGAGGGGCCCTTAGCCTACGCGCAGATCCCACTGCCCCAACCACTGCCAGTCCCTAACCTCACCTTCACCTTCAACAACCCGGAGCATTCGTTTGTGCAGACCTTTGCAGGGAGTACTAGCAGCAGCGCCAACCCCAACATCGGGACCGCCGCCGTCTTCAGTTCCGACATGATCTCCCTCGCCTCCGTTTCTCAACCAGGGAAGATTTACTACAGCCCCCAGTCCTCTTTTATGTGCGCGAGCACCTCTAATAGGTACCCAACCACTCCCGGGGTGCTGCCTTCCTACCCTCCAGCCACCATCAACCCGGGCAATCCGTTCCCCGGCTTTGGGTGCGCGAATACCCCGAGTACCTCCTCCCTGAATACTTTCCAAACCCTGCGAGACCCACCGCAGTTAGGCTCGCGCAAAACAAGCATAACCTCCCAAAAGGACGATTCCCATGGTGATATCAACTCCCCCACCTTAACCTTGTCTCTAAACCAAAAGAAGAATCTGAACGAGGCGTGCTTACGATTCGGTGAAGTAATTGAAAGGCTGGATCACTTCAGAGGGGCGGACCAGGAAAGCGCCGTCTTGACCCCAAACAATTGCTTGGAGAAACCGGCGGGGGGAACCGTGGAGAGGCAGTTTTCCTCCCTACTTAGTCACGACCTCAACCCCACCGACGTGGTCTGCTGTGAGGACCGCAAACCATCCCTCAACATGACTCTCATCAGTCCCACCTCCTCTGGGATGATGTGCTTTCCATTCTACTCCACTTTGGATTTGTTGAACGTCCCGCCGAGCAATGGGGGGGATTTCGCCGCATTCCAGACCACAGAGGAGGCTTCTGGCGTCAAGGAGGACGTGAAGACGAAAGATTGGTCGGTCGGGACGATGTGGCTAAATGAACCCTGCCCCACACTAGCGGTCCTCGATGCGCCCCACGCGGGCCAGACGCAGGACCACGCCAAAGACCCTTCAGCCTTCATCGCGGAGGACTCGCAGAAGTCCAGTAGGGCGAATAGTCTTTAGGAAGAGTGGTTCAAGTAGATATTAAACTCAATCGCCTCGGATACTTCGTGAGTATTCGATCCATCCGTATCAATAACTAAGTATAATAAGTTTACTGTCTGAATATAGTCGGTACGGGTTGATAACGGTGTTGAACTTCTTATTGTGGTCTTTACAAATTTCATTAAAGAATCTGAACATGGTTTCTCAGCATTTATTTTCTTTTAATTATTGTTTTTGCATCTAAATGAGTTGTGATCCTTTAGGAGGAAAACTTTGCTTATTTTTTTTTTCAACAAGTGTTTTTCTTTTTCAATTTCTATGCTAGGGTTGACTTTGGATAGTTTTGTTCAATTTTCCTCTTAAGTTTCTCATGAATTAGTATGTGCCCTTTATCTTCCAAGGTGTGAAAAGGGATCCATTTTCTTGTTTTGTGTATGGATATCGTGTCTCATTTTTTTTCCTCTCAGTACCATGCTTTATTAATTTTCATCTCTTTCTTCCAGAGTAAAGATTCTAAGTGTTTAAGTAACACTTATGGTATAGTGTGGTTATTATTTACTATTTCATTGATATTTAGGGAGTGTTTTATGTGGAATCTCTGTTATTGTTATCCAGTAACGTATTTAACGCTTTATCATCTATAATTTACTATGGAGTGCCTATCCAAGTGAATACTGTTCCTTTTCTAACTCCAACAGTTCCATCTATTATTTATTTCTTTGCCTCTACAATCTTTTTGTTACGCACTCTTCTAGTATGTAGTGGACCGACAAAGATTAAAAAAAAATAGGCAAGGTATGGGGAACAATGAAAATTAGTACAGAAATATATCGCTTAAAATAAAGTAATTGAGCGAAAAGGTGAATTAATTTAAGAAAGTTCTTGAAGTTTTAACTGCAGATAGGGCTGAGTTGATGGATTCAATACATTCTATTGTCACTATATGTGTACATCAATTTAGGTAACTAAATAACAAGGTAGTAAACCTCACTCAAAAAAAAAATGTGTGTTTTAATCTTTTTTGAAGTGTTCTACTTTCTCACTGGTTAACTAAATAACTATATTAAAAAATTAAAAAGTAATTGTCGAAAATATGAATTACACAAGCTATGGTTATGTGATGACTATGGTCTGTTTACACCTCTAAAACGCGATCTAAATGATTAATCTTTAATATGAACTGTTTCGTAATCGAATAGTTCGACTATCAACAGTCTGATGAATCTATTACTTGTATGGAAGTTTTCTTTATTTTGGTGGTAGTGTTTCTAACGACATACAGTTTTTTTATTTTTACCATTGTCTGTAAAGATATTTGTCTCGATACGATCAGACAAGAGTTGAGCCTTTATACAGAAAAATGTTACTTCATCTATTTTGACTCTTCACAAACATTTAGGATGCATATCTATATATCCATATAGATATATATATGTATATATATATATGTATTGATGTTCTGTAAGAAGACATGAGTCTAAGTGATATTTCGCCATTCCTCCCTCTTTGCTGTAAGCACTTGAGCAATGACAACTTAACACATTGCAATATTGTGAAAGGATCATCGACTGGTGACCCTCATTTTCTCCCATTATGGTGCGATGATTAATTTAGATAACCTGATTTATAAAACTGTCCCTTTTTTATTTCATAAGGTATACACAACTGATATCCATAACACAATCAAGAATATTGAGTAGAACGTGTGTGTGGATTGTTTTCATCAGGCTTCAAGTTTCCTTGACGACTACGAGGAAAAGGGGATAAAAGAAAAACGAAGGCAAAGGTGATTCCTTTTTTCATCCTCGGCATTCCATCCATTGATTTAAATGGTATCCAAGTACCGTAAAGCGCTTCGCCGGCAGGAAGCGCGCGGGACGACTTATAAACTCGTCCACCGCTCCTACGAAGATCAACTCAACGGCGAGTCCGATGGGAGGGGAATGGTGTGGGTCAATGAGGCAGACCTACGCCGCAACCACACAACCAGGCGAAAAGGCAAGGACCGGGAGGACCATTACGATTATAAGGAGGAGGGGGAGAATTGGGAAGATCACGACATGGTGGATTGGGACGACGAGGACGAATTAGAGCTTCTTGATTTCCCCCCCACCATCACCACCTCGCAACCTCCTAACCTACCTGGGGAGAATTCGATCCTTCATGGGGACGCGGGCTCGGGTCAGCGGCAAAGACTGGAAAACTCCACACCGGACGAAGACGAGGAGGAGGTTGCGGACGACGACAAGCTCTTTGACGATGAAATGGAATGCGAAGTTACCGATGATTTTCTCCGCGAACTGGTCTTCGGTGGGGTAAATAATGGAGGGAACGATGAGGCAGTCGACCAAACGGACATCTATGACTTTCCGGGTGCTATGGAGGGTAGGGGGGAAACCACCGACCCCGACCATGAAGGGATGCGATACGGCATCCCGCAAGATGCGTGGCGGCTGCTGACGGATGAGGAGAAGGCAGGCGTGCAGGCGGCCAATGCGCGCGGCGTCTCTTTCGGGCGCTCTAAAATCGTCCCCAACGCGGCGCTTGGCGTTGACGCCATCACTGCGCAGCCTTATCCTGTACACGACGTCATGCAGGGCGCCATGAATCGACAATTCGCGGAAATGATGCGGGAATTCGACGTGGATGCGCAGATTAACGACGCCTACACGGACGACCCACGCACGCACGGGGCGCTACACATGGATAAATATATGGGTGCACTGAAGGAATTCATCGTGGAACGTGCCGGTGTTGATTATTCCACTAGCGAGCCCGCAAAAAACAAAGGCCTCATCCATCAGCTTGAGCTCTTGGCGTACAGGGCAGGGGTTTTCGATACCGACTCCCATGGGGGAGTCTACACGACAACAATGACCTCAGAAAAGAAAAAGCGATTCGCTGAGGAGTTTAGGAACGAAACCGAGCGCATTCGTCTTGAGGCGGCGCTGCGGCAGTCGAGAAAAGCCTTGGCTGAACAGCAGGTAATAAAGGAACTGCACCCCGAGCAGCAACCCCGTAAGGCTGTGACTTTTGATATGGTGGATGCCGTGAACAATGGCGATGTGTCGCCGAAGCCTTCTAGAGCGCCTTCAGAGAATGATTTCTGTAGCAATCTGAATTTTGAAAAAAAAGAGGATAATGCCTTACATTCCCGAGACAACGCAATATCCTTTAAGCCAGAGGAAGAGGAGGAATTTCGTATTGCTGTCATAAAGTTGAGGGATAAGCAACTGGACTGTGAGAAGGCTGTTAGTGTCTTCTCCAGTTATCTTCACCAGCCCAACGTGATCCGTCCAACAACTAATAATAGCAAACCAAGGTCAAAAGATAAGTGTGTAATCCAAGGTTCTGAGCCAAAATCCGTCGGTGTGACTTTGGATTCTGATACCAAAGCTTCGGGCTTGAATGGATTCTCCGAAGGGGCCAAAAAGAGGGAAAATTCCAATTCTCGCCATGAAGAGACCAGGACCTTACACCCTTCAGTGACAACACTAGTTCCTACTATTCGATTTAAAGATGAAACCAATGAAGAAAAGAAGATGCGACGACAGGCAGTCAAAATGGCTCAACGGGAACGACGACAAGAGAAAAGTGCTCTGAGGAAAGCATATCAGATCGTCAGCGAGGTGGAAAAAAAGCGGGCGACCACGTCACTGGCTGCGAAGCGAACGGTCCATTTCCTGTGATTGGACCTGCTTCGTAAGGAATACAAACATTGAGAATAAAGCGCCACGCGTTCAAAGGTCTTTTACTTATTGCTTTACTCCTGGTGCCAAGTGGGGTTACTTTTCCCTTTTGTCACATTCCGATGAACCTAAATACATTTTTCTGAATTCTTGAGGCTCACAGCGTGCTTTCAATCTTTTTGCTGCAATAATAAGAATGATAATAAATAACAAGTCAAGATATTCCTCTTGAAAACGTTTAATAGCATCTTTTTTTTATCTTTCTAAGGTGTATATAACATTCGTGTGAAACAGTTTTCTTCGCATTAGGGGTCGTTTGAATGATTAAAATGGGGGCAGCGAAATGACGAAAGAAACGAAAACCAAAATCTGTATAACCTATGCAAGGGATCTTTCTAGAATTGCAGCTTCTCCATGACCAGACCAACCATATGCAAAATGTTTTTTCCCTGGTTAATTACTGTGTGAGTTCCGTAATCATACAATTCTCGCTTTTTTAGATAAGGGATTGAATTGCCTTAGTTTTCCCGTCTTTAACCTGTGTGTGAACGGTGTTGTGAATCTTAGAAAGATTGTTCTTCAGGCCCCTTTATGTGTTTGGTTCAAGAGATTGATACGCGCATTTTTAATAGGCCACAAAGTGTACTCCAGTCTTATGTGTTTTAATAGTGAAAGATTCACTCTCCTCGCTATGATCATCAAAAGTAAAGCTTTAAGACACATTCAAAAAACTATAACATACACTTCAGGTAAAAAAGGTAAAATAACATATACTAATTTATTGGCTCAAAATTATATTATGCATCAAGACTTGGTTTATCAACTTTTGCCACAGGTTGATTTGAAACCCAACTGCTTCTGTACCATTTCGCTAAGCAGCACAAAAAAGGATGTGTTCAACCTCATACTGAGTCTCTTACGAGAACTAATCCCTAGTGGTGGTAAATCCTCACTGTCGTTGAGACACTGTATAACAATTCTTCATATCGCCAATCTTCCTCTCCATATTAACGACCATGCACTGTATAATAGGTTCAAATCGTTCGGCGATATCACCTCGGTAACTATTTTGCGTGATTGGATCAGCGGCAACCCCCTTGGTACCGCTTTTGTTAAGTTCGAAAACCACGTGTCCGCCCATAATGCGTTGAAATACTTCAGGCATAAGGTGTTGGGATACAGTCCACTGTTAGTGAAGTGGGCCAATCAAGGACATCTCAACGCCATCGTCAGAAACGTCTGCCGCACCATGGACAAGCTGTTCATGCGGAATATCCCTCTGAAATTTTCCCTTGAGATGTTGAAGTTATTTCTGTTAAGCTTCGGCACGGTCACGCCGCTCAACTTAAACTCCAGCACTGTCGCCGTGAGTATGGCTTTCTATTCCTGGACACTCATCCCTGCGAGCAATCCCAAAAAGGGGTGGAATATCGCCTTTGTAACCTTTAAAAAGGAGGATGTTGTTTCGAAGGCCCTGGTGGCCGTCTACATGACCAACCCTTTTCCTTTTTGTAATAGGATACGCCTCTTGGTGAAGATCACTAAAGGTAAACATAAATGTTGCGTCTGTCGTTGGATTAAATTAGATGCCCTTAAAATCGTTTCGCTGGGCTGTTGCTCAGAACTTTATTCAAACAAATGTGATTGCTGCGATGCCAAGAAACACTCTAACCTCAACGACATCAACCAAGACAACCTTTCCCACCATTCTAACTGCTCGACAGTCTCTATTAATCTCTGTAGTCTGAGAGAAAAAATGAAAGTGGACAAGTGCCCCTTGATACAGGTCGTTTCCACAAAAGGTTCATCACTAATTTCTGAAAATGCATCAGATAATGTCTCGGTAAAATCGTATCACAGTGGTTCATTTTCTCAGGCAGGCGGTCCTCATATGCCATCGACCTTGCAGGGAACAATTGCAGGGTGTGGTGAAAATCCCTCCCAACCTTTCTCTCACTTTCAGAAGGTAGCTTTTGACAACATTGAGATCGCTGAGAAGATCAACCAACCCCCCCACACTCGTGGTGTAAACCCTAAAGAAGTCAACTGTGATGAAGATGAGGGTGCGTCTTTGCTGATGCGAACCACACGAAACAAAACTGCGTATTCCTCTCGAAACAGGTATTTCAACATGTATTGGGATAATAACCTGACCAATTACAGGTCTATGGGTGGCGGTGTGGCGCCACAGAATCAACCATATGTAATCACGGAAGCGGACCGTTACTTTATCAGATCATATATTGGTATGAACATTTCTAAGAAAACGCTGCTCAATTCAACTGTGCAATCCTGTCGAGCCCATAAACAGGGTGTTTGGCCCATCCCCAGGATTCTCTCGAGGCCCCAATTCAGCGGCCCAGAGGGGAAACCTAACTTAACACCGTATGGCTTCGATAAAACCCCGAATACACGCCGCATGACCACCCATTTCCCACGAAGGGTATCCCCCCCTTCTGCCCCGATGGACGTGCAACCTCTCTTACCAACAAAGACTTTGAATTCGGTTAATGCGAACGGCCTCAACGGTGTGCGCAATGCGGCAATTCCCCAGTACGATGAGTTATCCATCCCATTCACAACTCGAATTCCCTGGCCGTGGAAACTACCACCCGGCGGGAATCCTTTTCCAGTGATATACCCAATGATTCGTCCTGTAGTAGGGTCATACGGCGTACCGTCCCAGTTAAGGACCTAGGGAGCCTGAAAGTTAGCGGATCATGTAGGGGACTCTCTAAGGTAAGGTGAACCGGTCTTGTGAGTGTGTAGCCTTTGCTATAGTGCACACTCGAAGTCTAAGTTGAGACGATTGTTTTTTTCTTTTTCTTTTTACTTTTAACAAGGATATGGTGCCTAGTAGTGTATAAATGGCAACTTTCTCCTTAATGCTTATTTATATATTTATAGATATGATAGGGATAAGTTTTTTAACGCTAAACCATTCTTATGAGTGACTCAGGACTTGCAGGCCTGTTTCCAATGCAAATTAAGAGCCGGTACTTTAAAAAGTAAAAAAAAATCATAGGTGGTGATAATATGCCTTATGAAACCAACTCCAAGGCAAACTGAAATGCGAATGTTGGTAATCACGAATCAAAACCATTAGGTAACATGCATTTACAGGAATATTTTTTCATTAATAAGTATTAAAAAAAAACGTTTACCTTGATTTTTGGTTATAATTTCTTTATTTTATATACCTATTCCTTTGTATCCTTTATCATACCTATTATTTTCATCCTTAATTCAAGATTTATCATAATCTATTATATTGCGTATTTTTTGTGTATAGGCAGGATGTGTTGAGTTCTACATTTCGTGTTCTCAGTTCTTGACCTTGATTATTTTTTTAGATGCATTTTTTTGTGTGTTATCAATTCACCTTTTTAAATGCATAGTGTACAATTTATTTATATCGATAATGTGAAAAAAAAGTAATATGGAAAGATCTTTTGTCATGGGTTAAATAAAGAGGTAACTATTGCAGATAAGAAAATCATATCCTTGGCTATTCTCATTTCAGGAATCTAGATCCTTCGGAATCCTAATTGCTTTTATGGTCGATACGATTTAAATAGATAAAAAGTATCTAATGCTAGTTGTGAAGCTAAGTAGGGACAGCATAGATATTTTGAACTTCATAATGGTGTGACAATGAATACACATCAAAAAATATCAAATTGTACTGAATAGTAATATCAATAAGCTTCTCAGAGCATTCAACGTATATTTCATATAGACTTTCTTGAACACTATCAATCCTGCTCTGTTTTCATAATACAACGTAGTCTTTTTTATATTTTCAACCATTACACATTATGATGGGGGGAAGTAAAGGAAGATTCATCATGCTTATGTTTATATTCAGATTTTAGAATATAGTGAGAAGAAACTTATTCCCCCCTTCTATTATCGGTCTTTTCTATTTTCACCTTTTGCAATATTGTACATTCGAGTGAGGCAAGTTGGCACATGTTAAGTATCTTAATATATTTTTAGAAAGTGTATGCTTTTTTCTTTTATCATACTTGCACTACAGACGTGCTTAGTTTATTTTTTCAGTGAAATATATGCATTATATATATAACTAATGAAATGAGTAAACACTTTTTTATGCTTTGTGAACAAAAACTCGAAAATGTATTGACCCTAGGTAATATAAAAATATATGATTTTATATATGAATAACCTCCTATTTTTTTTATGTTATTTTGCCTTTTTCAGATAAATACGATAAATAAAAATGAATACTTCTAAGGCTAAAAACCTGTTGTGATCGGGACTTTTTCTTTTCGCAAAAAGTCCAATTAATTCGCTACCTATTTTATCCGACTTTTTTTTTATAATCTCTGCCAATCAAAACTTTTCCTCAAAACGTTCTGTTTCATTTCCCAAAGGTATATATATATATATTTATTTATAAGATATATATAGTTCCATTTGCCTTCGCTTCCTAGACGAGAGGCACACCAGGGATGGTCTCCTTCACGTGCAATCGATGTCATGATGTGGTGAAGAAGCCAAAGGTACTGGGCCACTCCAACATGTGCCGGTCTTCCGGCTTTACCTGTGTGGATTGCATGGAGGTCTTTGACGTACACTCCGTGAAGCTGCACACCGCCTGCATCACCGAGGTGGATAAGTACCAGGGCCAGTGGAAGCAGCGGTGCTCCGTGAATGGGAACCCCAAGCGGCCAGCGACGCCAGGGGATGCGAGCGATAGTGAGGTCAAGGCCGTGCGGCCGCGGCCGAGGATGCCCAACCTGAGCGATTCCGATAGCGAGAACAGCGATTGGGTGCACGGAAAAAAGTCCACGAAGAGGCCTCGCGAGGAAGACGCAGGCGATACGTCGGGAGACCGTCGAGAAGCGGGCGGTCATCTGTCCATGGATGCGCAAGATCGAAGGGAAGAATCCACCAATCGCGACCAGCCGTCTCCGACGAGGATTCAGAGCAACGCTCAAGTGAAGGAGAAGACTTCGCGGCCGTGCTCACCAACGTCCACGGACTGTGTCGTTCCCACCTTTGTCCTTGGCAGCGCTTCCGAGGTGGCGGATGTCGTGGTAGATATTTTGGGAGAGCACCCCGAACGCACCTCTATGCGTCCGAAGGATCTTTCGAAAGAATTGGTGAACCGATACTCAAGGCGCATCGCAAAATCGGTACGACATGCA